CTTGTGGTTCATAGTCCAGAGCTTATCCTACAGAGTCACCTAGTTCTCCCATATGCCGTTAGTGCTGTCGAGTCAGTTCCATCTCATAGCATCTCTGTAAAGGTTTTCCCAGGAGCAGCTGGTGGGTTTGAGTGCCTGACCTTACGGTTCAAAGGGAATTTACAGACCAGTGTTTATCCTACAGTGCCACACCAGAACTATAAGATGATATAATCAAGTATTCATTACTAGCAAGAAGAAAAATATCCATTTAATGAACACCTACTATCTTCCAGTCATCTTATAAATGACTAGCAGGTGTTACCATCACCAATTTAAAAAACAAGCAACTGGAAATTGGTCATTTGCTCAAGGTCAAGGCTAGAGCTATGATATGAATTCCAACCTACATTCCTGATTCTAAAGTTCTATTCCCTGACTATCTTGCCTCTTTTTAAGAAAAAAATAACAGATCAATGAGTATCTCCATGATTATGTTTAAAACAACAAACACAGTTACCCTCAAGTTGACTTGACTCCTGGCAACCCCATGTAAGTCACTATGCTCCACAGGGTTTTCAATGGCTGACATTTCATAAGTTGCTCACCAGTCCTTTCTTCCAACGTATCTCTAGGTGGGCTCAAACTACCAACCATTAACAACTGTGCCACCTAGGGACCACACCATGGACTCTGACAAAACCAGCTGAGATCAAAGTGAGTTCAGAGAAAGCAACTGATCTTTTTATCCAAAAATAAAACTAAAGAAGAGTGTGCAATAAATAATGAACAGTTAAATTTTTAAAATGAATAACATGTTTATTTAGAAAAAAAGATAACTGGATGAAGTAAATTAGGAAATGTAAATAAGAGGGGAAATTAGGCTTTATTCTATCTACTCTTCCTAGAGAAATTGTAGATCCAAGATAGTAATCCAGCAGCTTTTTTGCATATGTTGTTTTTAAGCGCTGGCGAGTCAATTCTAACCCCTAGTGACGCTGTACAGGGTTTCTGAGGAGAAAGCTGGTGGGTTTGAACTGCTAACCTTGTGCTTTGCAGTCCAGTGCTTATCCTGCAGTGCTACGCCAAGATATGTAGACTCCAGGAATTATGGGAAGACTCATTAACAACCTGCTATATGCAGGAGATACAGCCTTGCTTGCTAAAAATGAAAAGGAGTTAAGGTACTTACTGATGAAGATCAGTATGTATGGGTTGTACTTCCATGGTACAATAAATAACATCAAGATAAACTGAGAAAAGAATGAAGTTATCAAAGATTTCATTTAGCTTGGCTTCACTCATGGAAGCAGCAGTCAAGATATCAAACAACATATTGCATTAGGCAAATCGGCTGCACAAGACCTCTTTAAAGTGTTCAAGAGCAAAGATGTCAGTTTGAGGACTAAGGTGCATCTAATCCAAACCATGATATTTTAAATAGCCTCATATGCATGTGAATGCTGCATAATGACTAAGGAAGATCACAAAAGATGCATTTGAGGTATGGTGTTGGGGAAGACTATTAAAGGTACTATGGACTGTTAGAAGAACAAAGAAATCTGTTGAAGAAGTACAACCAGATGCTCCTTAGAAGCCAAGATGGCCAGACTTCATCATTCATACGTCAGACATATTGTTAGGAGGGAACAGTCCCTGGAGAAGGACATCATGCTTGGTAAAGTGGAGGGACACCAAAAAACAGGAAGACCCCCCCCCCCAAGGAAATGGAATGGCACAGTGGCAGCAGGAATGGGATCAAGCATAGCAGTAATTGTAAGGATGTCGCAGAACTGGGCAGTGTGACATTCTGTTGTGCATAGGATCGCTATGGGTTGGAACTGACTCAAGGACACCTAACAACAACAACAGGGATTCTGGGAAGGTGCTCAAAAATCCAAGGATTGCTACTACTAGACTTGTGACTGGGTCATGTGCCCCCAGGGGAGTAAGACACAAATACTGTCGATAAGAATTTATGGACCAAGGAATGTCAGTAACATGCTCTTTACATCCTATCAGCTTCGGTAGCTTTCAAGATGGATCTATTAGAGAAGTACTGGTGTGGCAATGTAGGTTAAGCACTGGACTACTAACTGCAAGGTCAGCAGTTCAAACCTACCCGCAGCCTCTTGGAAACACTGCACAGGGTCCATAACAGTTAGAACCCACTCTTCTGCATTTAACAACAAAAATTCTCAAGTAGACAGTACCTGCAGAGAGTGAAAAGTCCTAAGAATGTGTTAATACACAAAGGATTCCAGGAGGCATTATCAGTTAGGCTTTGGGCTGCTGCTAATCACAAGGTCAGTGAGTGATTCAAACCCACCAGCCACTTGTTGGGAGAAAGATAAAGCGGTTTGCTCCTGCAAAGATTTACAGCCTTGGAAACCTGGATAGTCTTCCTGTGAGCTGGAATTGACTCCATGGCAGTGGGTATAGACTAATTCCTCCAGTTCTACTTCTTCACATAGTAGGCAAAATGATCCAGGGGCAAATTCAGATTTCCATCATCATCATCATCATCATCATCAAATGATCTAAAGCTAAGACTTGGTGTGGAGCTGACCTCAAGGACAGTTTGAACCATAAGGGTGATAGTTCAAACTCAAAAGCTGCTCCTCAGAAAGCCACAGCACTTAGTAGCAACAACAAGGCCACGAAAGGAGTTCTAGTACGGTAGTGGATTATGAGCTGGACTGCTAATCACAGGTCAGTAGTGCTAATCTACCAGTAAATCCATGGAAGAAAGATGAGGCTTTCTGCTCCCATAAAGATGTGCAGCCTTTGAAACACTATACAGGATCATTATGAGTTGGAACCAACTCAGTGGCACACAACCAATACCACCACCACCACCAAGGGCACCAAAACACACTTTCTAAATGTCCTATTCTAATCTATACATGATATAAGATTTCTTTCTTAATCTCATGCTTAGATCACCAAAATATTTGCCACTGCATTATCAGCATCCATTTGGAAACCCTGGCAAAGAACCAAAGCACCATTCTTACTTAACAGCCTAACTGGCTTGGGGTTCTTTGATACTGAAAAGCAAGAGAAACTTTTCTTTGTTTTTCCTCAACACAAAGCATAGATTCTAACAACTGAGTACTGTGCATATAAATTCAGCAACCTAAAGTTATTTCTGTTTTAAAGAGTTCCTTTATTCAACCCATAGTGTTTGACCTAAGACTGAGATAAAGTAGCTTGCAGTTTACCTCTCAAGGACATAAGGTGAAAAAAAAATTTTGCAATCACACACAAAAGCACTTTAACAGTATTTTTATACATGCTGTCACCAGAAAAACACACTTCAAAAGTCTAATTTAGGTCCCACACCAGCCTAGGATCAGCACTAGACTGCAAAGTTTGGCAGTTCAAACCCACCAGCTGCTCCTTGAAGCCTTATACAGGGTCACTATAGGTCATAATTGAACAACAACAACAATGAAAGGAGTTGCAAGGTCAGCAGTTAAAATTCACCATTCGCTCCTCACAAACCCTATACAGGGTCACTGAGTCATAGCACGTAACAGCAGCACTGATAGGAGAGAGAATTGTGTATGCAGAGGTGAAGAAAAAAAGCAGTTGTACTAGTAGTCATTTCCTTAGATGTGCCGCACTCACAAGATCCCAATTCCCAGCCAAGAGGTCATTAAAGCAGAAGCCCTTATTTAACACACTCAGACTGTGGCAAGCAAATGTCTTAGCCAGCCACTTGACATCTCAAAGCTACTTTGGTTTGCTTTTGCTTAAGCTGGAGTTTACGTTGTTTCCAAGCCCAGATTTTAGTGTTCTTGCTTTGGCTTTAAGCTTCCTTATGATGAATGAATCACTGCAGGATATTCATTTATCCTAAATCACAACAATTCAAACCAGCTTTCAGGTCTGTGTTGACAATGACTATCTTGACTAATTACTTCAACAAATAATGAAAGGAGTATATATTTAACTATATTAAAGTGATGAGTTTTAAGACTTGTAATGACCAGACCTGGAAATTTTAAGGTGAGAGTAAACTGTTAATTTATACAATTTTTCAAGGTTGAAAATTTGGGAAAATGTTATACATTATTAACCCAGGAGTCCAGGTGTGGCACTGTAGAAGAAGCACTCCACCTGAAGGTTGGTTTGATTGACAAGGTCAGCAATTCAAACTCACCAGCTGCTCCTTGGAAACCCTATACAGGGTCGCTATGAATTGGAACTGACTCCACGGCACGTAACAACAACAATACCATTATCATAAATTTATTCAAATGAAATAATCAGTGATGCAGGTTGTAATATGCACATTGAAAAGCTCCCCATGAGGACATTAATAATTATGAAACTCCAGAAACAACCTAAATAACAAGGAAAAATATAAATAAGCCGTTGTTTAAGAATGGAAATACTCTCACTAATTATATAATATCAATGTTACATCAAATACATCAATGTTCTTAATCTATACCATTATAGTAAACTAAGTAAAATAAAGTCAGGTTGCGCTCAATGAGTTAGTTAATAAGAAAACCATTTTCTTATAAAAAATCAATAGGAGTTCCTGAGTAGTCATAGATTTTAAGTCAACTTCAAGAAGACATAAAGAAAAGTAGGCTGGTTTTTAATAACTAATCATGTACTATAGGAACTCCAATGACCAATTATGATTAGATGTCTGATTGGATCTCCATACCATGTTCACAACATTGAAAAAACTGTGGTAGAGTTGTTAAAATGGACAACAATCACAGTAGGTGGCTTGCAATAGAAACTAAACATGTCTGGCTCACAAAAATTCATTATTTTTTCCAATAATGCTCTGTATTACCTCATATACAATTATTCAACATAAAGAATGATTTCTAAAATTAATAGATATCACTCCATTAAGCTAGTTTCACATATGAAATCACATTCAAAATATCCTGAAAGACTTTATTTCACCCATACACTACAAAAATCTCTGTATTGCAAATAAATTCCACATTGTTTGCATAAATAATGACCAAAGCCTAAGGACAACTCACATAAAAGAATCCAAGTGGTCCAGATATATATGGCATTTTCATTCCCAAGAGATACTTGACTTGAGAAGTCACAACGTGGGTGGCAGCTCCAGTTGTCATCGCACTGATGACAGGCTCTGTCAGCAGGAAGGTGGCACTACCCAGTTGTAGGGCAAACATGGCCAACTGAGAAAACAAAGTTAGAGTTAGAGGCTACTTCCCCCAAGGTCTCGAGGAATTAATATAGGAACATTGTTTTCATTTTTACTTTCTACAGGCACTGAGAAGTGATGTGAAGCAAATTTCTTTAACCTGATATACATATTTTTGAGAACATTATTAGGTTCCAAGACTTTTAAAATGTTATTAGTATTGTAAGTGGCTCAATTAAAATTGTTAGCATAATTATTTTTATTATTAACTTATTTTTCTTTTTTCCTATCGACATATGTTATAAAGAAAGGGAAATATACTCCAATTGTTTAATATATGGTGCTCTCCAGAGAAAAACTGTACCTTGGGAGAAAAAGGAAGGGACAAGATACTACACCTAGAATGCTCGAAACTCCAAAATCAATGAGGGAAACAAAACAAAAAACAATCCTTGATTTTTTGTCACAGGTTCTGATAAATGGAAATATACTATTTTGACCAGATATACTGTCAACCAGCTTTTAAGTACTAATATTTAATATTTATATATCAGGAGTTCCTTGTATACTGGGAAGAGAAACAGAGGAAAGAGATGAAAGAAAAATAGAAGAAAGACATGTCTTAAGAAGTTCAGGAATTGATAGAAAAATAATTTTTCTTAGACTTTACTTCACTGCTTCTAGCATCACACTCAATTCCCAAACCATTTCAGAACCAGACAAAATCACTAACTCTGAGTAGATGCTGTGCATTGAGCCCTGCTGGGCAAACAGCAAAAAAAAAAAAAAAAAAAATCAGAATTATGTTCTTCACTCATGTTTTTCTAATGATAAAGAAACACTGACTTCATACAACTATGTGAACTCGTTGTAGAAATTGCAAAAAGTTTAGTTCTACACTGGGAAAGGAGTCCTGGTATAGCACTGTGGGTTAATGCGCCAGACTGCAAAGCCGTTTGAACTGCAAGGTCGGTGGTTCAAACTCACCAACTGCTCCTTGGAAACCCTATACAGGGTTGCTATGTGTCGGTACTCACTCTACGGCATTTAACAACAACACTGGAAAAAGGCAAACTAAGTAGGTCATTCTGATACAGCCTCTCCACGCGTCAGTGACATCACTAGGATTGGTGTTACCCAGGGCAGTAGCTCATGCAGTTTATCTTCTCTTCCCATGGACCATCTCCCACATCAGACTACACGCTACACAGTCTTTTTTTTTATTCCGTGCCATCTGACTCTGTTTAGGGTTTTTGAGAATAGCTAGTGGGTTTGAACTGCCAACATTTCTTATCCTACAATGCCACATCAGGCCCTATCCAGAGTCCTTAGTAATGCTCATTCTCAATCTTAATTATAAAATTTGTTGTTGTTGTTAAGTGCCGTAGAGTAGATTCTGACTCATTCAGACCTTTCTACTCCCGTAAAGATTTACACCCTCGGAAACCCTGTACAGGGTCGCTATGGGTCGAAACCGACTCGACGGCACTTAACAACAACAACAACAGTTGGAATAAGTATGGTGAAAGGGTAC